CTTCAGTGACTCCATCCAGCCATCTCATTCTCTGTCGTCCCCTTCTTCTATTGCCCTCAATCTTTCCCAGCATTAGGGCCTTCTCCAGTGAGTCTTTCCTTCTCATTAGGTGGTCAAAGTATTTGAGTTTCAACTTCAGGATCTGGCCTTCTAAAGAGCAGTTGGGGTTGATCTCTTCTAGGACTGACCGGTTTGAATGCCTTGTAGTCCAAGGTACTCGCAGGACTCTTCTCCAGCACATAGTTCAAAGGCCTCAATTCTTTGGTGCTCAGCCTTTCTTAAGGTCCAACTTTCACATCCATACATTGCAACTGGGAAAACCATGGCTTTGACTAAACGCACTTTTGTTGGCAGGGTGATGTCTCTGCTTTTTAGTATGCTGTCTAGATTTGCCATAGCTTTCTTCCCCAGGATCAAGCGTCTTTTAATTTCTTGGCTGCAGTCCCCATCTGAGGTGATCTTAGAGCCCAGGAAAATAAAATCTGTCACTACCTCCATTTCTTCCCCATCTATTTGCCAGGAATTGAGAGGGCCGGATGCCATGATCTTTTCTTAATGTTGAGATTCAAGCCAACTTTTGCACTCTCCTTCTTCACCCGCATCAAGAGGCTCTTTAGTTCCTCTTCACTTTCTGCCATTAGAGTGGTATCATCTGCATATCTTAAGTTGTTGATATTTCTCCCAGCAATCTTAATTCCAACTTTTGATTCATCTAGCCCGGCCTTTCTCATGATGTGCTCTGCATATAAGTTAAATAGGCAGGGCGACAGTATATAGCCTTGCCAGACTCCTTTCCCAATTTTGAACCAATCAGTGGTTCCGTGGCCAGTTCTCACTGTTGCTTCTTGACCTGCATATAGGTTTCTCAGGAGACAAATAAGATGGTCTGGTACTCCCATCTCTTTAAGAACTTGCCACAATTTGTTGTGATCCACACAATCAAAGGCTTTAGTATAGTCAATGAAACAGAAGTAGATGTTTTTCTGGAACTCCTTAGCTTTCTCCATGATCCAGCGTATGTTGGCAATTTGATCTCTAGTTCCTCTGCCTCTTTGAAATCCTGCCTGTATTTCTGGTAGTTCTCGATCCACATATTGCTGGAGTCTAGCTTGTAGGATTTTAAGCATAACTTTACTAGCATGTGAAATGAGTGCAATGGTGCGATAGTTTGAACATTCTTTGGCATTGCCTTTCTTTGGAATTGGAATGTAAATTGACCTTTCAAATCCTGTGGCCACTGTTGAGTTTTCCAAATTTGTGGGCAAATTGAGTGTAGCACTTTTACTGCATTGTCTTTTAAGATTTTGAATAGTTCAGCTGGAATGCTGTCACCTCCATTAGCTTTGTTGTTGCTCAGATTTCCTAAGGCCCATTTCACTTCACATTCTAGGATGTCTGGCTCGAGGTCAGTGACCACCCCATCGTGGTTACTGGGACATTAAGCTCGTTCTTGTATAGTTCTTTGTAGTTTGCCACCTCTTCTTACTCTCTTCTGCCTCTGTTAGGTCCCTGCCATTTTGGTCCTTTATCATGCCCATCTTTGCATGAAACGTTCCCTTCATATCTCCAATTTTCTTGAAGAGATTTCTGGTCCTCCCTATTCTATTGTTTTCTTCTATTTCTTTGCACTGTTCATTTAAGAAGGTATTTTTATCTCTTCTAGCTATGCTCTGGAATTCTGCATTCAGTTGGGTGTATCTTTCTCTTTCTCCTTTGCCTTTTGCTTCCCTTCTTTCCTCAGCTATTTGCAAAGCTTCCTCAGACAGCCATTTTGCTTTCTTGCATTTCTTTTTCTTTGGGATGGTTTTAGTTGCTACCTCTTGTACAATGTTGCGAACTTCCATCCATAGTTCTTCAGGCACTCTGTCTATCAGATCTAATTCCTTAAATCTATTTGTTACCTCTACTGTATATTCATCAGGAATATGATTTAGTTCATACTTGAGTGGCCTAGTGCTTTTCCCTATTTTCTTCAATTTAAGCCTAAATTTTGCAACAAGAAGCTCATGATCTGAGCCACAGTCAGTTCCTGGTCTTGTTTTTACTGACTGTATAGAGCTTCTCCATCTTTGGCTGCAGAGTACATAGTCAATCTGATTTCTGTGTTGACCGTCTGGTGATGTCCATGTGTAGAGCCATCTCTTGGGTTGTTGGAAAAGAGTGTTTGTTATGACCATCGTATTCTCTTGACAAAATTCTATCAAACTGTGTGCTGCTTCATTTTGTACTCCAAGGCCAAACATGCCTGTTATTCCGGTTATCTTTTGGCTTCCTACTTTAGCATTCCAATCCTCCATGATGGTAAGGACATCATTTTTTGGTGTTAATTCTATAAGGTGCTGTAGGGCTTCATAGAACCGGCCAATTTCATCCTCTTCAGCACCAGTGGTTGGGGCATAGATTTGGACTACTGTGATATTGAATGGTTTGCCTTGGATTTGAACTGAGATCATTCTGTCATTTTGGGGATTGTATCCCAGTATTGTTTTTCCTATTCTTTAATTGACTATGAAGGCTACTCCATTTCTTCTGAGGGATTCTTGCCCACAGTAGTATACCTGATGGTCATCTGAGTTAAATTCACCCATTCCTGTCCATTTTAGTTCACTGATTCCTAAGATGTCAATGTTCAGTCTTTACATCTCTTGTTTGACTGCGTCTAACTTGCCTTGATTCATGGATCTTTTTATCCCTTTTTACTCTTGTTCTTTTTTCTCTTTTTTTAGTCTTATTTATTCCTTAAGTAAGGTAAAAGTTATGGGATGGTTTACACGAATAGAATCAAATATCTAAATATAATTAACTTTGAGAAAATCTTAACCAATAAAAATGTCTTGAATATTGTGGGAAAAACAAATGTAAACAAGAACCGTAAACAGGATCTATAATGAGGCAACCAGAATGACTAGAAAAGAAATATTATATTGATGTGATTATTTGCAGAAATATTAGAATTTTTTTTATATTCAATTGTTATCTATCAAAACAAGAATTGTATTAACTTAAGGTTGGTAAAAGAGAACATTATGGGAAGAAGAGGAAATCAAGTAAAGCTATTATGTGCATTATAGATCATAGAAACCAATTGTTAGTGAATGTTTTTTAAATGTAAACCCAGACAACACACTGTTTACCGAATATTAAGGTGACCATGTTAAAAAATTAATAAAATATATTATAAAAAAAGAGAATCCACAATGGACTGAGAATCAGCATCTCCACTAGATAATTGACAATCAGGCTGAAACTAAGTTAATCAAGTAAAAATAGCAAATGAGAAAATCTTTAACTCAAACTTTTTCAAACCCCCAAATAAGTTACCTAGACCTAATCCACAAATCAAAGGAGAGGTTCTATAAACACAAATAGTTAATTAAAATAGTCTCCCAGTGGAACCGTATGTTGACAAACATAAACATCATAGATATATACCTGCACATACCCATGCTCAAGTGTCATTCTAGAATCAGCACATACGCACTTCCACACCCAGGACAAGCTCCCCTATAAAACAATCTCCTTCTACCCCATTTCTCTGCAGTTGCCCTCAAAGCAAACCTCTTTGCTTTTGGGACTAAACATTTTCCCTTTCCTCACAGCTGTCTGGATTTCATTTTTATTTATTCTTGCAGAACTCTGGCTCAAGTTGGAATCTCAAATTATTCTTGCTGAGTCCTGAGCCTGCAAAAGCAGGCTCGGGACGTTGCAAGGTCCTGGGCAATTGCAAAAGCTGCCCGGGACCAGACTGAGTGACGTCGGTCTTGTGCGCACATGCAAGGCGCGAAAGCACTCAGTAATTGTTGCCATTATGTTCAGGTCTCTGAGTTGTTAAGAGAGGCTGCGTGCCTCGTAGATTGCCAAATTGGAAAAAGCTGTTACTAATAAAAGAGTGCTGTGTTCAAGATGAGCCTCCTCACTCTTCATTACTCTCAGGACGTAACAATTCTTCTGACAGTTGTTAAGCGAATCACTGCAGTTAAGTTAGTTACACAGTTGTTAAGTGAATCTGGCTTCCCCATTGACTTTCCTTGTCAGAATGTTGAAAAAGGTGATCACATGACTCCAGGACAACACAATCATCATAAATACATCCCAGTTGCTAAAGAGTCTGAATTTTTATCATGTGACCATGGGGATGTCACAACTGTCTTAAGTGTGAAAACTGATAAGTCACTGTTTCTGTTTGTTTTCCTTGTCTATTGACAGACTCACAGCCTAGATTTACACTATTTCCTGATTCCAGCTCCTTCTTTCAATCCGTGCCCTTCAAATCTATCACTGTTGTCTGTAAACCACGACTCATTATACCAATAGCACTTACTTATATGTAGTGAAAAAAAGCATGTTGTTCCGAATTCTTTACTCTCATTAGCATATGTTCTTGAAAATAAAAATATATTGTAAAAATTCTGCAATGTCTTTTTTCTGGAAAAAAGTGATTTTATACAGTACATTTTTTCTTTTTCAATGTAATTTTTGTTGCAGATGCCAAGAGAATTAAGCAGCTAGTGTGTCCTGCATTGCCCCCCTTCGTCCTCCTTTCCAATTCTCCAAATCCTCCTTTGCTTCATGAATTATCTAGGGCTAAACAACGTGGAAGGGAAGCGGTATTAATTACACATTAAGGCACCCGGAGTGATGCTCCTCTCTGCCTCATTTTATTTCAACAATCTGATGGGGTAAGTATCGTAAGGTCATCTCATTTACCACGGTTTATTTGGACACGAATGTGCGTATAAAACACAAACCCACCTTATTCTACAGCAGTTACAAGTACCCAAAGGAGGAATTCAACACGATTATAGAGATCTCTCCAAGATGGAAGAGATCAACATTAACCCCTCCCCCTCCCCTCGGACGCGCGACTACCCTTCCTCCGCTAGTAAAGAAAGCGCTCCTGCTCAAGAAAGCCCGCCGGCGGTTGGAAAGGGCAGGGTCAGAGGGGCGTCGAAGGCAAATACACGTGCAGGCTCTGATTGGTGGCTTCTCGCGCAGGCGTCCAAAGACCGGAGACAAGTAGGCCGCGGGGCTTTTTGTCAAGGAAACGCTACTGTTTACAGCTGTTGCAACCGCCCTCTTTTCTCAACCCTTAGAAGACTTGCACGTTTTTGCTGCCCACGTCTAGTTCCAGCCAGGCGAAGAGTCATGCCTATACGCTGGAAGGTGAAAGGCTCTCCCCTCTTTTCCTAAGAACCTTTAAGCTGCTAGACAAGCCCTCCCCCCACCGCGCATACTTGGTATTGGCCGTTGTGTTATTGGTCGTTTCAAGAGAAGCGCCCATTGTTGCCGCTTCGGGGGTTTGTTCCATCTTCATCAGCAAATAATCCGGGTAGGCCGCTTCTGGTTGTCTCGCAGACCTTTTGCCAAGCCCAGCCTAAGTGGACCCCAGGATAGGAAGGCAGTGAGTTAGATAGCATGTGGTTACCAACGGGAATGAGCTGGCATGGGAAACTAGGATCGGTGGTAAGTCTTAAGGCTGGGTCTCTCTTTATTCAGGTGTTAAAAGCTGTACGACGACGGGAAGTTCCATTGTTTGCTCAAATGGAAGAACTGTAGTATTATAATAATAAAAGTTCACTTATTAGGCTAATGTCTATAATACATTTAACATCATTGGAGCCTGCCAGAAGAAAAGGTGGGAGTGCTAGATAAAGACAAGGATAGTATCATAATTCAGTTGTATCATTTAGAATAGAGGATGACTGTCTTTGCATCTTGGGCATGTTATATTATGGTCTATGCCAGTGTATTACTGAAATGAATTTCAGAAAAGAATATAGCAGAAAACTTCTTGGATATTTGTGGGATGAAGTGAGTTGAGCTGTGGGAAGTGCTGTTTGGATTATTTGCTTTGAGTTAAGAGAGGTGGTGAATTGAGTATGACATGGTGTCCTAAGTTTGTGGAAATAAGGATGAGTGTAACCATTGTGAGTGATACAGGATAAAAAAATACATAATTCAGTTTGCAGCCAAAAGCTATTTTTATACAAAGCCATTTAAGTGTGAAATAAAAAAAGCTGAATGGTTTTTAAGAAAAAGTAGATGTATTTTCAAGGTATTTGAAATATATATGAATATTAGCTAATTTTAACATTATTTCACAAGCAATAAATTACATGGCACTTGCACATAGATTATATATTTTGTGCCTTTTAATTTATTTTTTCCTGCTGATAATTGATCCATTTTTATTTGCGCTACAGGTACAGCATGTGTAAAGTAGGCAGGTTTCAGATTTATTGTTACACAGTACAATTTTACCAATGAGAATAGGTGTACAAAACCTTGAAGCATACAGGTAGTCCTCATTTAGCAATGACAATTGGGTCCAGCACCTTGGTTATTAAGCAGAAAAATATATGACTTCTGACAGACTTCTATCATTTCCCATTTGGTCAGTAAGCGAATCAATGTTTAACGACCATTTCAAGATCATAGGCATTAAGCAAGACATCACGTGATTGTAATTTGCTTCTCTGTTTTCTACTAACTGCTTGTTCAATGCCTGTTGGGAAGCATGCAAAATAGTAATCACATGACTACAGGACAATGTGATAGTCATAAATGCATGCTGATTACGAACTGCCCAAATGATGATCACATGAATGTGGGATGTGACAGTTGTAAATGCAAGGACTGGTCGCAAAGCTGGGTGTTTTTAACACTGGTGACTTCAAACTGTTGCTAAATAAAGCAGTCGGTAAGTGAGAGTTATCTGTATTGAATCCAAATATTGTTTCTCAGCCTCATTAGACATTCATTCCAACTTTATAAGAAGTGATCTGATATCTAAATAGACCTCTCCAACCTTAATTTCACTGTTGGAATAGTCTATATTTCAATACTGGAATACGTCTGATATGTTTGGAATGGCTTTGGAATGAAATATTTAAAAGTTGAGACTTTGTAATCTTGAAATACTACCCACACATTTAGAAACAGCCCGTAGTCCACCGATATCAAACTCGCCGTGTCACATGACATGTCGCGATGTTTTGTGACTTTTTGCATTGCCAGAATGGGGATGGGCACGGCCTCCGCATGATGCAACTGGTCCATGCCATCATCCTTCAAAAACAGCTTTTTTCAAAAATACCATCCAGAAATTTGGATCTTGGAAATTTGGATTTTAATTTTCTTTATTAGTTATCCTAATTATCCTAACCCAGGCCTAAACCTATAAAGTACTTTATAAATATAAAAAGAAAAGTCCATATATATATATATATATATATATATATATATATATATATATATATATATATATATATATTAGCATTCCACTTGTTTCAATCTTTTATTCAGTGGAGATGAGTGAGTGGTCAAGAATAGAGAATCCACATTGTTCTTGTTGTAAACCTAGCATTGGAACCAATTAAGTTGTGAAAGAAAGGAAATCCACTTTATATCCTGTTTAGAATACAATCTTTCCTCCTCCCTCTGGTGAATAGAGTTTTGCTCTATTAACTTTTATTCTCCTATAAGTAATAGAATATTACTTAAAGAATATTAATATGGAATATTAATATTAAACCACCCACAGAAAAGATCTCAAGAAGTACAGTATTCTTAAAAATTATGGATTGTTAAAAAGCATAATGTATCTGAATTTGTGAAGAAAGAATAATCAAACTGCCTTATAAAACTGAGTGTTATTGGTTTCTGGAATAAGAAAGTTGAGAGCAATTAATTGTTAAGTAAAAGAGAAGAAAAGTAAGAAAATAATAAGGAAAACCGAAGAGGCTTGTTCACTGCCCAGATAGCTTGTATAGTATTTCATAAAAGAGTATCTTACTATTAGATGCGGTATTAAACACATTTTAATGGTTTCTGTTTATTAATATGTGCAGATGAAATTACCTATTACATGCAACAACACTTCATGACATGAAAATATTTTTTGTCAGTAATTGAACAGAATTTCAAACTGCTTTTAAAATTAAGTCTAATCCTTGGAAATTTAACCAGAAACTTCAGTCTATTTACACAATGAAGTTAATGTCTCCTCATAAATTGGACAAAATATATACCATATTTACAGTTGTTAGCCTTTACTGTGATGTTTAAATTATAAGTGCAGCATCATGTTATTAAGAGTATTATTCCCATCTGTAAGCAAATTGCTACATTTGCAAAGATGCTTCTGACCGATAATGTGCCATGTAGAACAATATATGAGATGATGCTGATTGACTTTTTGTTCTAATATGTATTATAGCCTTAATTATTAAATAATAATGTATCTAAAGTTTATAATTCCTTTTAATTGTAAATTAACAGAACAGTTATCACAAAAGGACTTACTCATCCAGATTTTTTAAAGAAAACTAGTTGCTTTAAAATTTCAACAAATGACTGTTTATCAATCTTTTGAAATAATAGCAGCCTTGGACAAAGTGACTTATGACCTGTACTTGTATTTATGACTATCTCACCGCTCCTGTCATGTGATTGCAACTTGAGCACCTGGCAGCAAGATTTTATTTATGACCATTTGCAGCATTCTGCACTCGTGCTCACAATTTGCAACCTTCTATGCAAAAAATGACCATTGGGGAAGCTGGATTTGATTAATGATGACATGATTCACTTAATGTTCTTGATGATTTGCTTAATGACTGTGTAATATTGTCGTAAAATCGGGTCAACTCAACTTATGACTATAGTGACAATGATAGAAATTCTGATCCCAGTTGTGCTTGTAAATCAAGGAGCACCTATACAATCTCAAACATGTGAAGTTAGATTCTGATGGGTTAAGTAATATGAAGTAGAAATTTAATAAGTTTTTTTCCCTTTCTACAAGACATTTCCTATTAGTACTAAAGTAAATTTTACCATATGAAGGAACTGATGTCAACGCTGCTAACATCGGATGTTCTTGCTTTTATAATATATGGAGATGCAGCCATTTTCCTTCTTATGTTTTATTCTTAGAATTAGAGTTAGAATTAGATGATACTGGGGGGGGGAGGGGAGGAATGTGCATGGGAGTTTAGACATAACAGTATTGTAACTAGTGTGAGAACCAAGGTTTTTTGAAATAAGAGATGATAAGAAATGGCGGGTTGAAGAACTGGAGGGAAATCCTGCATTTCAAGCTAATTGGAGAATGTGATTTATGACTGTTAATTAGAGGAGGGAATTGTGCTTTGATACTATGTGCTCAGGGGAGGGGAATTCAAATTTTGGCCTTGCCTATGTACGTGCTGATGCTATGCTACTCGAATAAAGATTCTTTAAGGCAAACAATGCCCTGAAGTTCTTTGAAGAGTTTCATCTGTTGGAACCATGACATTAAGTCAAAATCTCCAACTTTCCTAACTATCTAGGGGTCCCAAGCCCTAGTCACTGTCCCTAGAATCAAAGGACAAGCTGACAAAGATTCGGGGAAGATTTCAGCATGAAGAAAGAGAAAACGCCTGAAGCAAGCACCCAGGCAGCAGCTGCTACCCCAGTGGGGGGAGTAACAGCCAGCGTGCCGGTGGAGAAGAAACTTTTTCAGGCCTCCCATCTGGGGGCAAAACCCAAGCCACAAAGACAGCTGATCTGGTCATCAGAATGGACCCAGCCCAGTGGAGACTCCAGACACCTCAAGACAGCCTTGCCACCTTCAAGTGCTTCAAAGGCAGACTAGGTTGAGCTACCACGAAGGGATTCCCACATATCGCGTTCCCCAGATTGGTGGAGAACTACCAAATCATCTGCCACTGAGGACTTGGATGAGTGGAAATAACTGTCCGCAGCTCGTAGTCAGTCAGTGGAGAAGTTGGTGGAAAGGTTCGAGGAGCTAGAGATGAGAAGCAGAGAGCAATCTTCCCATTCCCCACACACCAGCAATCAGGATGATCGACGAGGCAGCCCCAACTCCTGCAGAGAAGAACCCCCAGTCCCTCCTTCACAGATCCTGCCTTCTTGCCCCTGAAGCACCGTACCAGGGCCTCCAGCCCCACAGAGAGAGACAGCTCCAGTCACCGCCCCTCCAGAAGCCCCGACTGCCGCTGACGAGATGAGGGCCCAGGCAGTTGCCAGGACAGCCAATCCCCAGACCAGTGTGCATATTGATCACCCAGCCTGGGGCCCCTGCAGCAATGGGGAATATGGCAGCCCCACAGGTGGGAGGTCAGCAGTCTCTGCCAAGGCAACAGCAGCTGGGGTGGTCG